GAGAGCAAACGTGAAAGCTGCTCTCCGATTTAATCCGTTCGTCATCGTACGGTGTAGAACGCGCATATCAATTCTACCTCCAGGAATCCACCAAGTAAGTCTGATGTCTAGGTCATGGGCGTAACGAGAAAATAATCTTTCCAGATGCAAGAAATTTATTTTAACGGTGCATTAAAATTACGTGGACGTGTGATAAAAGTAACGCATACTCCGTTCCGAAGATTTCACTAGGAAGCTGTTCCCAACCAAGTCAGTTATTCACTCGTATAAATGTAAAAACTTACATTGTGATGTACTTTCTCGTTTCCCAATGTACCGATTTCTTTGCGTGCTATTGCATTTTTCACAAATATTTTAAGATTTAAAAAAAAATAAGAATTCCCAGGAATTTCCAAACGCTACTGATCATCAATTACCTCTTTGCCCAATTAGGACTTCCCAAAAAAAAAAAACGATCATTTGCGCGTACATGCGGTTAAAGTCGCATCTCTGAAACAGCGGCATCTCGAAATTTGGGCAACGAGACGATTCTCCCAAAAGTTTGGGTCTGCCCGCAATGGCAGCCAAACCCTCCGCCACTGCGCCTTTTTCGTTTCCCATCGATCGGACCGGCCGAACCGGCCACTCCATTAGAGGTGAACTCCTTTCTCTCGCGGTCGACTGCGGAATAAGCCGCCTGAGACACCCTGTAGCCGGCGTCCTCTCACTTTCATCGGTGCCCGACTTTCCTCATTTCCCTCGCGTTCCATTCCACGGGCTATCGCACCGGTGCGGTTTTCACTGACAGCGCGAGTAGGAGTCTGTGCACTAGAACGCCACTATGGCTATGGAATATGTGTGTGACGGCGAAGAGACACGAGACTCACTTTCGCTTCGGGATTTCTTCGCAGTTACGCGCCGACTTACGCGCTCGAAAATACTCGGCCGCGACGCAAACTCGCTCGTAAATCAAGACCACGAGCACCGGCAATTAGATTCTACGAAACTTTAAGGGGAGTTACGTAAGAGATTTAGCCGCGTGGTTGATCTCTCGAAGTGTGAAAAAGACACCCTCCCCGCGAGTGTATTTTCCAAAGGTGCCCTCCCGAATGCGATCTCCGTTGAAATTGAATTTATTTGAAAACGGAGTTCAAGTCGAACGTAAGCTTATTTCCTAACGTCAACGCGTAATTTTTTAAATTTATAATCGCAATTCTTGATATTGAATACAAAATGTCAAAAGCAGAACGATAATTATGATAGTAAAAACAAGTATTTTGGTCAAACACATGAGATTTTTTTGATTGTGAAATAATATGACTTGATCATCTCTGTATCAAGATAATAAAATGTTTTCATAAGCATTATCTTTATTACCTTATTATCTTAATATTAAAGTAATCAAATCATTATTTCAAAATAAAAGAAGCAATTTGATATATCTGATATCTATCTGATATCTATAACATCTAGTCTGCTCTGATTCCAAATTTTATGAAAAAAAAAAAAAATTAACAAATCAGGAGGGCAAAATGTTTCACGAAATTAGTAGACATTGCTATTTTTAGTCACAGAATTTGCGAATACTCGTCGTCGATTTACCAGTGACGCTGAATAAACAGCGCGGAAAATTGCAGAACATCGTCGCCCGTATTAGCGAGAGCAGATTTTATATCATCGTTAATGGCTTAACGGCTGTATGGTGGCTGACCCCTAAAATCCTGTCTAAGAATACGAATCTGTTTACGGTACTATGATGCCGTTTCTATGCGCCATTGACCCTATAACATTCGCCATTCACCAGCATGCACCACCGTGCGTGCATGAAAATTAAGATAAAGTTTGCGGCCCTCTTAAAAACAGACGCAGACCTGGCGCCTGAATTACCTCTCGTTATCAACCCATATCAGATATTTAATCTTGTTGAGACAATTAATTTCCATCTACATTATCAAAAATCAAAGAAATTATATATATTTATAATATCTTTATCATCCATATTTTTAATACGCGAATTTTAGAGCGAGCCCCTCGAGCTTTAATTTATTATTTGAGAAATTTGATAATGAAAAATTATCAAATTTGTCAAATAATATTGCGAGTTAATAATTAACACACAATTACACATAACTGATATCTGCATATCTCAATTAAGATTGTATCGCGACCGCTACATTGATTTCTCTCTCTGAAAACGCCGTCTGACTTTCTTCTTTCGGCAGCCAAGGAGGTCGTCGAAAATTGTGTTATTTTTATCTTCGTGCTGTGCTTTTCTCGCGGCAAGAGCCGGGCATCGAAGTTACAATCTCGCAACGAGAACGAAATCGAAAGGATCGAAGCGCCGACCGACTCTCTCGTCGTCTCGAACGCTCGGTTGGTCGGCTGCGATGGCGAAATTCTGCGAGAGCGCGTTTTTGTCGATCGTAAATCCTTTTCGGACAAGTCGTCCGCCTCTACCCCTTTCCCGCCTCCCCCATCCTCTCATCCCGAGTGAAAATCTTCTACAGAACCAGCTCCGACCCGCAAATATCTCCCGAATGAATCAGTCGTAGGAATCAAACCAGAGAGTCGGATTAGCGATTCCAGTCGCTAAAAATGACCCTACGCTTTTTTGCAGTTTTTATTCAAGAAAAACAAATTTACAAAAAAGAAATGATAATGATATATTGTTTCTTAACGAAAAAAGTGGTGAACCGTCTGGAAGCTGCTGCGATTCTAATTTACCTTTTTTTTTTGTTCTTATAAAAATTCCATAAATCAACGAATATTTTATCTATTATTTATATATTTGCATATATCGCGACATTAAAATTAGCTACATCATAATCATAATAATATGATTGATAAAAACATGATACTACAGCATAACGAAATCTAATTTTGTTTTTAATTCTTTTTTTTTCTAAATTAAAATTATCATGGATTTTAATTTATTACGCATAACATTACGCATAACGTTATTACGCAGCGACGGAAATATGAAATAAAATTCCGACAAATATAGCGTTCTTTACACTTTCAAATAACTACACGCTACACGGTGTGTCCTCCAGAACGTCGGCGTCAGTCATTCACACCGCGCCACGCCGGGCGGCCTCCGTATGAAAACGTGACTTTGTCTACGATTCCGTCGAGCGGCGTGGAAACCAGGTGCGGTTTCCACTCGGCTCCGAGGAAGAAATTTCCGGTAATAAATTGTCGCCGGTATGTCGCCCGTAGGCTTGAATGGAGATTCAAATATCTTCGTAATCGAAGCCCAGAGAAGCCCACGTACACACGTTCGTGCGCGCTCGCGTATGTCGAGAGGATAAAGACGTCTTGCGGAAGACGGTAATGGAGTGTCATCGATCGCGATCGTCGGTCTCGCGGAACCCGAGAAGAAAGGGGTGGAGCACGCATCCGGGGCATTTCCGGAGTGTCGGGGGATAGCCACGGATAGAGATTCGATCGAGCTGAATCGAAAGGGCGAAGGGCGCGACGTGATCCGTGACGTGCGTGGGTGAGGTACTCCCCCCTCCCCCCTCCCTCCACCCCTCTCCTACCCCGGCGTGTTATGGAATGCTCGCTCGGAATAATTTACGTTAACGACGTTTTAACTGC